ATTGCAACCCCCCGGGGGTTTATTTCTCACTTTTCTTCTCACTGTCTCTCTTTCTCCGTGAGTGCACGTGCCCTAAGGCAAAAAAAGTCTTAAAAAAGTAAAGAACTGTATGAAAGGGACCAGCAGATGGCATAATGGTTATGTCGCTGACTCCCACATGGCTGACCATGGTTCAAGTCCCAAACCCAGCAGCTTGAAATTTATGCTGAGGGTGTGTGCATGTGTTCCCACCCAAAATCCTGAAAGGAGGATGGAGAAGGGATTGCAGCATGGCCATCCCCCCGCAGGGGTGATTTCTCACTGTCTGTCTGTCTCTGTCTCTCTGGTAAGTGTACATGCCCTATAGCGAAAATCTCTCTTAAGGGAAAAAAAGCTGTATGAAAGGCCTGGGTTTGTGGAGTTGTCTGGTGGACTTCGCCGTAGGATGGATAGACCTAGACCACTCTTTTCACTTGGGAATCCTCATGTCAGGATCTAGGGTTCTTAACTCACTCTTTAGGGAAGAATTGTCCACCTGCTGTGTGGTCAGGAACTTAGGGACAGGAATATTTTGACTTTGGGGTTCTTGTTGCTAAGGAGGAGATTAGGCTTAGAGTCCTACAGGTCTGTGCATTGATTTTTTTACCCATACTTGTTTTCAACCCAGTGTACTTCATCCTCTCTCTCTGCTGTAATGGGTATCCCTGGGTCTGGACTCCTCCTCACTTGATTTCTCAGTCTCCTGTTGGGGAGTCACAGGGGGAGGTGCTACCTGGTTAATGTGTAGATGGACTTCCAATGAATTCCCCTGTTCTTTGGGCCTCTGATTCAGACCTGCCTCCAGAGGTATTTGATGTTTCAGAAACTGATGTTCTTGGGAGTTTCAAGGAGCCCATTGTCTTCCATGTTGTCTGTAATTCCTACAGATTGTAACTCCTGTGCTCTAAGTCATCTATCCCCTTCTGTTCATTTTAACTACTGAAAACATTCCAAAAAACTCATATATCTTGCTTCTTTCCCTGTTGTCTTTTTTAGGTAAATATTCTCATTTTGAGGTATTTTGGAAGAGATAAATATCTGTGGTCACTGTATCCTTTTTTCAGTCCAAAATTGGTTCTCAGCATTTTCAGTAAGCCTCCTAGGTGATGTCTATTGAAACGTGAAAATCATTGGTTCAGAGTTTGAAGGCCACTAATTGAACTTGGGATAAACCTTTGATTTTTTAGGGATTGTTTTTAGTAAGGTCATATCTTTGGATTAAATTAGGCCCATGTATCCTCTTTCAAATCAGTGGATCTGCCTCACTTTTTTCTGTGCTTTAGGTTTTTTTTAATTGCCAGAGGGCGTATGCTCTCACCAGAGAGAGAGGGAGGGAGGGAGAAGGAGAAAGAGCTCTCCAAAAGGGCGTGGTCACACTGCAGTCACTTCTCCATTTCTCCATCTTGTCAGGATTTGGGGCATGCATGTACAGGCGTACAATGTATCTTTCAAGACACTCAGCCAAGACTTGAACTTCAGCCAGCCATGTGGGATCCAGTTCCCTTACCTACTTGGCTGCCAGGCCTGGCCCCTCCATTCCCCAAGTCTTTATTGAATGCCTGCTCAGTGCCAAGCATTGTGCTGTGTGTTCAGTTAGCAAAATGGACACAGCCCCTCCTCTCCAAGACTTTATCGACTTCATTTGCCCTCCCAGATGGTTGTCTGGCTTTATGTCATGTGTAGTGTTCAGGAAAAAATGCATTACCTGTCTCACCAGAACTGACCAGACTGGTTGTGTGTCTCCAGGAAAGTTATGTGTACTGCTTAAATCCAATTCTGAAGTAGACCACCTGCAGTTAGTGTCAGACTTCAAAGGTTTAAGGGCACAGTCCCCTGCAAGACTACACCTCAGATGCCAGTTGTGGAGTCCCCCGACCACATGTACTTCTGAACACCTAGCCACAAATCTGGGAGTTCTTATGACCCCTTTAGGTTTAGGCATTCCCTAGAGTGACTTCTAGAACTCCACAAAGTACTATACTTACAATTAACAGTTTTAATATGAAAGATACAATTTAATACCAGGCAAATGAAGAGCACCATAGAGTGAGGTCTGGGAGAACCTCACAGTGCCATCTCCCTGTGGAATCAGGGCATGTAACCATCCCAGCATATCCCACGTGTTCACCAAACCATCAGTATCCAGAGTTTTCTTGGAGTTTTATTAGGTAGGCATGATTGCACTCAATCTCCAACCCCTTCCTGCAGGAGGCTAGGCTGAAGTACAGTTTATCTTTCTGGTGACCAGCCTTCATTCTGAGCCATCTTTTTAGCCTAAGTTCATTCATGGTGGACTCTGACCCACTGTGAATAATGAAGACACTTCTGTCTTATTGGGGAAATTGTGAGTACCTAGAAATTATCTCTCAGGAACCTGGGTCAAAGACCAAGCAGATTCTTGATTATAACAGAAGTGCTACCAATTTTTTTTTCTTTTTTCTTTTTTTAATGAGAGCATGTGTATGAGAGGTTCATTCTTCCGTCAGAGGATGGATATATGTGCTCACCAGAGAGAGGCAGAGAGGGAGGGGAGAAAGCACCCCCCCTTGGGGAATGGTCACACCTTAATCCCTTCTCCTCCATCTCTCTATTCATTTAAGACTTGGGGCACACATGCAGATGTGCCCTACGTGTTTTCCAAGGCACCAGGTCTGGGACCTGAACCAGGGGTTGGTGTCTGTAGGGATCCAACTGCCCTAACCACCAAGCTACAGAACAGGCCCAGGTTTTTTTGTTTTTTAATTTTTCAAAATTTTAAAATTTCTTCCATGTGCAAGAGAGTGATGGGGAAGGGACACTCCCAACAGGATATCCATGCTGCTACCCAGTCTAGCCAGCCCAGATCACTGGTATGCATGTGCATGCGTGCCTGGTGTGTGTAAGGAGACCTCGGGATGTGAAGTCAGGACCTTCCTGTGTGGGTCTAGTATCTTGCCACTGCTGCACCACCGTGGCAGTCTGGAATCTTTTTTCCTCTGCATCAGATCTTGGCACAATTGACTCCTCCCTGCCAGCTGGGACCACAGATATGTGCAATTGTACCTGGCCTGCTTAAATTAAGCAGGAACTGAACCTGGGCCTCCTGTAGCCTCGTCCATCACATAGCAGCCCCCTCCTACCTGTACCACTGTGGCTGGGCCAGTTCTGAAAATTTTTCCTTTAAATTTTTTTTTTTTTTTTTTTTAATTTTACTCAGGATAGAGCACATGTGTGAGAGAGAGAAAGAGGAGCACATTTTACAGGGTCTGGTTACGCCATGATCCCTTCCCTCCAGTCCTCCAACCTGTTGTATTTTGGACACTTGCACACATGCCTGGTATGTTTCAGGCTGGCTGTGGGATTGACTTTCCTTGAGCAGTGCATTGCCGCTGCCCAATGGATATAGCCCACTACTGATTTTTTAAAAATGATTATTTATTGAATTGTATTGACTCATTTGTTTATTTTAATTTGACCAGAGAGAGAGAGAAAGAGAAGCGAGAAAGCAAGCTGCCAGGTCCAGGACTTGAACTATGGTCTGCCATGTAGGAGTGTCCAGCGCCTTAACCACCTGCTGGTCCCATGCCCGCTACTGAGTTTTAGAAACTGCCTAGGAGTCCTTTGGAGGGTCTTTTTTTTCTCTTTTTTTTTTTTTTTTTTTTTTTTTTTTTTTTAGATTTTTTTTACTATGAGGCATGCACGCGCTTGCCAGAGAGACAGAAAACAAGAACTCACCCCCCAGGGGAGATGACCACCCCACAATCCCTCCTCCTCCATTCTCCTCTTGGGATTTCGGGCACACAGGCACACGCGCCCAGTGTGAGTTTTAAGCTGCTGGGCCCGGGACTTGAATCACCATCAACTACTTGGGAATCCAGCAACGTAAGCATTACACCATCTGCTGGTCCCTGTTCCTGCTCTAAACCAGAAAGTTCAGGTGTTATCTCTGTAGTTTATGCCCTAATTCCAAGTGGCAGAATTTGTTTAGCTTCTTACCTTTGTTGTAGTAGAACAACATGGGCAGAGATCATGGTCAGTTTGAGAGAAGTTGATATCTGTTGTCCTAGGGGTGTGAATGGAGACAGACTCTTAACTTTTCTTTCCCT